ACCCCTTTGCACTCCAAGCTCTGCCTCTCCCTCTCCTGCTGCTTGGTTTTTCTTCACAGCGTTTCTTAGCCCACACATAAACCATTTGTCTCATCTCTCTAGGATGTAATCTCTCCAAGGGAAAGACTTTGCTTTGTTGGCCTCCGTATCCCTGGCATCTGAATGGCCCCCAAGCATAATAGGTACTCAAGGGATATTTGCTGAATGAATAAAGGAGGACTGTGTCTCTGAGATTTCAAAGGTACTGCCCCTGCTGGTACCTCCAGGGGTGAGTGCTTGTGCAGTAAAAGAAATCCAATAAGCAATCCTCTCTAAATGGAATCTATGAGCACATTCTTTTTGGACTGTTGAGCCCCCCATCCTCCTAAGCATGTCAACTGGAGTCGGTTGACCACGAAGCATTCTCATAGCTTATCCAACGGGTAGAGGAAGACACTCACAGAGTGCTTGCCACTCGTTCACTTCAGACTTCCTGGAGGTAACTCATGTGCACAGCTAAAACAACCATCATTCTTCATATCCTGTTGGGGACTTGTCTAGGAATTCAAGTTTGAAGGAGCTGGCTGGATGCGGCGATGTGAGACCCTCTGTGTGAAAACTTCTCCCACAGGCTTTCAATCGGCAGGCTATCTTCAAGTGTGAGAGATCAAAAAATGGAGATGATGCCATGTCCACACATACGCCACTGGGTGATCTGACCAACTGAAAGAATTCATGAGAAATTCTGTAGGAATTCCTGGCTGCACACGCATGTCACCCACTAGTTTATTAGCTGACAGACTCAAACCAGACAAGTGTATACTGTGGCTGCCTGTGAGTCTCCTCAGCCTGAGGCTATATATACAGCCTTGGTCTTTGTGGGAAGCCCCTACTGCATGTGGGCTGAACCACAGCTTTTTAGTCGTAACATACTTCCTGCTGTAAGTGGAATTTGGGATGAGGAACGGCAGCTATGTAAGCTCCGGTGTGTCCCGATGTGGGGCCTTTAGGGTCTTCAGATATTGTGGTTCTCTTAGGATGACTACGGGTTCAGTATGACTCTTAGCATGGATCTGTTTGTTACCAGTGTCTTCAAAGGGAGTCAATCTTCTTGGTCACCATTTCCCAGGACAGAGCACCATGTTCTAGGGTGCCACCAGGGCCACTTTCTCACTTTGGGAAGAACTACAAGACTGGTGCCACTTGAGTGGCATAGTTTAGAGGTAGGAGGTTTCCCTGACATATGCAGACTGGGTTTATCCCTAACGTTACATTTAGTGGGAATAGTGGTGTAGAGCGTCAAGACCAAATGCCAAGGTCATGCCCAGATACAGAGTTCAAAACCCCATGTGAGCCCTTGTCCTAAAATAAAACAAAAAGAGGAGAGAAAGCTCATTGTCACAGTGCTCAGAGGACCTCATTGAATACCATATCTGAATGTTTTTAACACTGGAACTTGGGCCTTTCTTTCTAAACAAGAAAACTTGAAGTGAATTGACAGGTAACTGGAGCACAGCTGAGCTGAAGACTGACTGTCAGTGAGTGAGAGTTGGGGAGTCAGAGCCGAGAAGAGCTGAACACAGTGGAGGATGTAAGCAGGAGTTGGGGAAGGACCCTATTTCCTGGAGCAGGATAGCGTATCCATGGTGGAATCCACAACCAGGAATGCGAGTAAAATTCCCTTAGTAACTTCACAGTCCTGTTAGAACTGGGAAGACACAGGAGGCTCCAGAAAGGTGGTAAGGCACCAGATCCAAACAGGCAGTGGTGAGGTGGACAGCCATGTAGGAGGTGGAAACCCAGAAAAGAGCTGTGAGCTCCTGATTCAAATTATAAAACATGAAGAGCACTAGTGGGGGATGAATGCTGGGCTAAGTGATCCACAGGATGTGAGGGATCTCAGAAAAGACTTGAAGGAGATCAGTACAATGTGGCTGTCAGGTGCAAGCTCTGTAACACCTCTCCAGTCGGGAGTGTAGTCCACTCCATTTCTCTTGCCCCCGCAGTGAGTAGAAGGTGGCAGAAATGTCACTATGAGACCTTTGAGATGGTCCTCACAGGTGGCACAGGGTGATGTGGGCTGTTGGAATCCAACTGTCCTGATGAAAGCAAGCCAGGGCACACAGACACCCATGTGTAGGTGTCCTGGCTCAGTGCAGCTGAGCGCCTAGCACACAGCTGGTATCCACTGCAGACACAGGCCCCAGTCTCCGTGTGACAGCAGCAGCATGAGAATGAGTGGGAGCAGCTCCTCCACCCACCTCCTCCTCCTTCCCCGCCCTCCCTCTCTTTCCTGCTCTAGAAAAGTCATAGCAGTTGAATGCTATTATGACTGGGCTTCCCCAGTCGCAGATGCAGCCGCCGATAAATGTAACGGCAATTGATGGCAGAGTCTTAAAAGATTATGAAAAGCCTTTTAATTCCCTCTTAGTTTTCTATTACTTTCTCTTTTGGTTTTCTGGTTTCTGTAGGAAAATAAACCAACACATGTGTGAGATTTGACCATCACTGTTGAGGCAGCCTGGTGGACACATTTTCAACTGCATCTAAGGCCAGGCTAGGGAGCTGTCGTTCAAGATGTCCCTCGCATCACCCCTCATTCTCCCATTCTCCGGTTAGGATGAGGTCTCAGCCAACACATAGGAGGTTTGCTTTAGTTTTTAAACACATTCTGGCTTGTGTGCTCTTGGTGCAGCTCTCCTCAGGGTCAGGTTGTGGGTATCACTTGGCAGTGTGCAAGCATGTGGAGGAGGTTTGTGTGTGGTAGAGGAGTGATTTAGATAGCAAGGGCAGGAGAAAAGACAAGGCCAGGGATGGAAGTAGAAATGGTAATTATGTCCCATTGTACTGGCTGTCAGGCTATTATTCTAACATAACATACATTATACCTTGTGAGTAGGAATCAGAGGCTTTTCAAAAGCCACTTTTCTTACTTTAAATGGTGAATTTTATGTATCATTAAGTCCATTCTTATATAAAATCTGAGCTATTTAATTTTTTTTCTAGCTAAGTTTTGAGTAAAAGGAGAGCCCAACACCAGTAACATCTCCTAGAAGAACCAAGACATGGGGGAGGTGTTAGAGGGCCCCCCTTTCTCCAGGAGAATTTTGGGAAATTAGAGAAGGACCTGGAAAACAGATTTGGAGGGGACAAACTGTTGATAGCCAGACACCTGCTTGGGTGAGGCAAAGAAGGTATTTATTGAACATATATATATATATATATATATATATATATCATTACATATATTACATATAGTCACATGTGGGGCTCCACAGCTTCAGGTCCAGGCCCTTACTTCTTGCTTGAAGCAGTGTCTTGTAGGCAGCTGTGCACAAAGTCTAGCTGGTCTGCACACTTCTGAGCTTTCTCCCATTTCTGCCCCACTTCCTCACCATAGGAGCCCTGGGGTTACAGACCCTGCTACCATGTCTGCCTTTACATAGATTCTGAGGTCTCCTGGCTGAGTCAGCTCCCCCCCACCAGGCCAGGCCACCAGCCAGCATTTGTTGAATCAGTAAGGAGACCTTCCTTAGTTCACAGCCTTGGAAAGCCCTCAGCATGCTCCAGGAATTTCAGGCAGTGATTATGTTTTATTCATTGTAAAGCTACACACACACCACACACACACATGCACACCAAACACACACACACAACACACACAACACACACAACACACATACACACATAACACACATACAGACACAACACACATACACACACAACACACACACACACACACATGCATGCACATACCATATACACTGCACACACCATACACACATGCACGCACACACACATGCCATACACAGCACACACACACACACACACACATGCATGCACATACCATACACACACCACACACATACACCATACACACATGCACACACACACACCACATGCACACACACACACACACACACACCACACACACACGCCATACACACATGCACACACATACACACATGCACACACACACCACACACACACACACACACACATACACACATACACACATGCACACACACACACACACACACACACACACACACGCCATACACACATGCACACACATACACACACACCATACACACATGCACTCACACACACACCAAGCTAGCAACACCGGAGAGGTAACTTGAGCGTTAAGAGCAGCAGCTGCTCTCACAGAGGATCCAGGTTCAGTTCCCAGCACCCACCCGGCAGCTCACAACAGATTATAATTTCAGTTCCCGGGGACCTGATGCCCTCTTCTTGCCTCCACAGGCACTGCACGTATGAGGCACACATGCACATGCATGTGCCCATGAGAAATGCTTTGGAAACAGTTCCAGGAGCTCTGCTGTTGGACACAATTGTGTGGCCGCCTGTGTTTTTCCCTTTTGTGTTTTTACACTTTCATCTCATCACCTACACTCTTTGTGCTGATCTCCACCACTTCATAGAAGGTGTTCATCCGTGGAATTAAACAGAAAGTCCGTCCTAAACACCATTCATCAGAAACTTTAGTCAATATTTTCTGATTCCGCTTTTGTAAAAACCCTGCAAGGGAAGTTTTGACTTTTGCTTTGACCATGTGATCAGTGAAGCACAGAGAGGATCAGCAACTCCCTGGAGGGCACACAGCTGGCAGCAGGTAGAGCCAAGATTTGGATCTCGCTCCAGAACTTGTGTTTTACACATTGACCTTAGACTGAATGATGCTAATCTTTTCTTTGTAAATTATTTTTTTCTGTATATTTGTCTGTGATTGTTGTGCCTCTTCTAATTAAGAGATTTTATTGCTGGGGCAATGATCTCACAGCCCAATGACCTGTTATGATTTGGAACTCAGGGTACTCAAAGGCTTCATCCATATCCAAACTTCGGCATCTCCTGAGGTCCTGCATTCTCGGCGGCTCCCAGGGCGGCTCAGCAGGAAGCTGGGCATGGCCTTGTGCTACCAGGCAGAGCCTGTACCTCGTCAGAGACAGAACAAAGGCAGTTTGGATTTGGGGTGAGCATCTATTCCTTGACAGCTATGTCAGGATTTGATTTGGTCTTGGGTTGTCTTATTGGTCACTAGCTGCAATCAAGTCAGGTTCAGTTCCTTCACGTGGGGATCCTATGGGGCCTCGTCCTAACTGGATGCTCTTCAGAAAAACAAAACAACACCAACAAAAAAAGCCCAAGACAATTAAAAGTACTAGATAGAAAGCAAGGATTTCTAAGTGACCTACCTGGATTGGGTTGGCATTCAGATATCTGCCCCCTGCCTTTCTCCCCACACAAATTAGTAGTTGTTTTCTGTGGTATGTAATAGTTTTACAGTTTTCTCCAAATGCCTCTTTCAGGTTTAGATTCAAATTGGTTTCCATGGACTTGCCTAGCTGCTGCTGTTTGTGTATGCTTGTGTAATACTGACCTGTGCGTGCTTGTGAAATGACACGAAATGGTAAACAGATTTTTCTTTCCTTTTTTAAAGAACTTCCCCTACAATGAGTGCTTTCAAGTTTTTAAGCTCACCATGGATTAGAATCGTCTGGGGAGCTTTACAGACTTGCCCTATCTGGCCTCACCCCCAGATGGAATCCTTTGCTTTCTGGGACTTGGCTGGGCATCTTGTTTGGGTCAAGGGAATAGAAAGTCAAAGAGTAAAAGAAATATATTGTTGGATTCTGAGTTTGAACAGACTAGCGGTGGGAAGGACAAGACGGAAGATCTGGCAGGGGGCAGTGAGGCTGCCGGAAACAATTCCCAGGGCAGCGAGGGAACTCAAGGGTGACGAGAAAGCTGGGGAAACAATGAGGCGTATTTATTTTGGGCTCCTGGACTCAGTGCAGACTGACATGCATCCGGGATTAGTGACCAGGTGGAACACTGGTCATCTTAACAGGTGTCTTTATGGTCTGATGTGTGCTAAGACATCCCTCCCTTGCCTGCATTTTTTTGACACATCACCCCAATTCCCCAGATTCTTGGCAAGGGAGAGAGGGAGAGCGCTGGATTTTGGTGGAGGGAAAGGAATGTCCAGAATGAAAAAATACTCCATGGATGTTGATGAATGTCTGCGTCAGCATTATTTTAAAATGCTCACTCTTACATGCATACGTGTTTATCTGTGTATTTGTGCGCCGTGTGCATGCAGTGCTGGTGGAGGCCAGAAGAGACATCATTTCCCTGAAACTGGAATGATAGACAGTTGTGAAAGACCAGGTTGGTGCTGGGAACTGAACCCTGGTCCTCTGCAAGAGTAGCAAGTGCTGCTAACCACTGGGCCACCTCTACAGCTGCAGGCTTCTCTTCTGTGTTGGTGCATTTAAGGGTCCTTCATTCTTCAAGCATTTGAAAGCCTTCCGAGAGCACAAGTGTTTGACTCCTCATTTTCTTGACCTACCAGTTTGACAACTAAAGAAATATGGAGTCTCTATCACTACAATTCTGTCGACATTTCAGTTCATTTAGAATGCACTTTAAATTTTACCCATTAAAAGATACTTTGTCATTAAGCCATCATACTTTGACTCTTAACAAGTTTTGTGAGCCTTCCTTTTATGACTTTTAGGATCCCATACATCTTTTATATTCCCCATCCATTATTGCTGGTCCTGAACGGTATCTGCTTTAGAGCAACTGGTGGCCTCCCTCAAAACAGCTATCCTGCTCCTCTGTCACATCAGAGCAACAGAAATAAGAACTTAAAACAGCACTGACAAGTCACCCAGTTTCCAGGTAAAAAAACTTGGCTTTGGCTGAATCACTGGAACCAGGTACTTAAGAATGTGGCCCAAAGTAACAACCTATCTTGAGAGAAAAATATACTATGTTCATTACTTAACAGTCTTCACAAAGACAACCTACCCTTCTCCTCTGGTGTTAACTGAGGGTGAGTGTAGCCTTGTCTCTCACTATGAGATTGTACTTTGAGAATCCGAATTGTCAGTGGGGAGTGATAGGGTCACAGAGTTTCAGCACAGACATGGACCTGCAGGCAGCAGGACCCACGTGCAGCTGTTTATTTAATTGGTATGTATTCTTTATACATTATGTTGTTTTAATTGGTGTGTATTCTTTATATATGTAATGATGAGTCCCATAAGGACATTTTTATTTCTGAAATAAAATTTTCCTTACCCTTTGAGAATTTCATAGGGGTGTACAATGTGTTTGGATCAGACCCTGAAAACAGCAGTTTTACTCTTCTTTGTGGCTGAATAGATTCACACCGTGAGCAAGTCACACATTCATTATCTATTCCTCCTGACGGACATTGAAGGGAATTCTGGAACCTAGCTGTTGCGAACAGTACTGAGATGCACTGACATTTTCTCCTGCTTTAACCAAAAGAACACAGATTGGCTTCTTTCCCAGCACTGGACTAAGCTTAAGGCAAATGACAGACCAGAGAGACCAACAATATCCCAGTGACATCTGTTCTTTTAGCTCTGATTCTTATTCTGTGGGTCAATAAACACCAATATACTCTAATTTTGTCTAAATTAATTTGGTTTCATTCGGCTGTTTGCAATCGAAGAACCGTAAGAATGAAAACAGGGTATTTCGTACTAATGAGTTAGAGACCCTTAGATGAGCGCTGTACCAGGAATCCTTTCTTTTGTAAAGAGTTTTAACTCAGCTAAGATGAGTTGCTGGTCTGGGCAGATGGCTTGGTGGGCTAGAGTGCTTGTCTCCAAAGCTGACCACCTGAGCTCATCCCCAGGACCCACAAGGCAGAGGGAGAGAATTAACTCCTGAAAGTTGGCCTCTGGATTCTCCATTAGCACAATGGGGCATAGTTCCCAAGCCCCAATACATAATAAGATGCTAGACAGATAGATAATCATTGGAAGATTAATTATGGATCTTACATAGAGTTGTAAATAAAAAGCCATATTAATGAACAGCTTGAAGTTGCTGGGTTCACATAAATATTGTGACAGGTCTTTCCTTTCTGGAATTTATACTGTCCTTGCAATGAGTTACCCAAGCTGTTGGTAGCAGTACTATGATGGAGCTAAGAGAAGCGCTGTCTGGACTCTGGCAGATCCCACAGAGAGAGAGGAGCTGTCCACCCAGCCCCACACAGCTTTGCTGTGATCTCAACCATTTGTGCTTCCAGAACTTAATTCTAGATTCTCTCTTAGACATTGGGAATCTTGGTCCAAGTCTGTGTTCCTCATCTTTATTGATATCCACAGATGGACCCAGTTGGTTTGCAGAGATAATATAAATGTCTGCTTGCAATTTTAATCCCAGGAAAGATGTTGTTTTTGAAATAAGTGAGAAGGTGGATCTACTACTTCCTGTCTCCCCAGATCCTTCTAACTCTTCACAAGCTACAGAAATCCCACAATGCTCTTCCACCTGGGCATATCTGTGGACCCGTGGACTGCCTGACCTGTGGCAGGCTCATGGGCCTTGAACCCACCCTGTTAACAACCTGCATTTACAAACCTTGTGCCCCTCCTTTCTCCTTAGCTTGTAGAGGGAAGTCTTGAACCTTTGCATCTCCCGTGTCGATGGACATGAAGGAATACATTGTTTGTATCCTCACCCCCATAATAGATTCAACAAAGGCTGATGAACCCCATTGGTAACTTGGTGACCCGCTGTGGTGGTATGAATGAGAATCACCTCAGTACCCTTGTTATTTATATTACTTGGTTCCCAGTTGGTGGGATCTAATCACCTCAGTACCCTTGTTATTTATATTACTTGGTTCCCAGTTGGTGGATCTGTTTGGGAAGGTGTGTCACTGAGAGAGAGCTTTGAGGTTTCAAAAGCCCATGTGGTTACCAGCTATCTCTCTCCTTGCCTCCTACTTCTGGGTAAGCGTGTGAGCTCTCAGCTTCTTTTCCAACACCATGCCTGACTGCTTGTTGCCACGCTATCGCCCATGATGGGGATGCAGTCACAGTATGAACTATAAGCCCCAATAGACTGTTTCTTTTATAAGCTGCTTTGATCATAGTGTTTATCACAGCAATTTAAAAGAAACTAAGATGCCCATTAAGTTCTACAAGAAACAATGTTCTAATGGCATGGTAGAGCCAGGAAGTCCCAGGCTCTGACCCCAGGACACTGCATCTGTAGGAGTGTCTCAGAATATATTATAAAAATACTAGAGTTTGAAGACTTTTGCTACATCCTTGCTGGCCACACCTCTTCCTACTTTCCAGTGCTCCCCTCTTGTCTGTATTTAGGTTCCTTGACAGACTCTGAAGACGCCTGAGTCTGAAGCCTGAGTTATGTTTCAACCTTGTTACTATATTTCCAAATACTCTGCCTGTTTGCTCACAGCTCTCTGCTTTTCTCTAGTGTGTGTTTTAAAACCCTTTGGAAAGAGCAATGCTGACCTGCATACCACTGCAAAGCCAGGCCTTCCCTACACATTGTCAGTGGATGAACTTAAACTTGAGGTTGCCATGAAAGCAAAGCCTGTTGCATTCCAGCTTTGAAGTTCTACTCTGCCCCAGGATGGGCTCTCTTCTCTGCACCCACCAATAGCCAGCTCCTTTGAGCACTTGGGGTTTCCAGGCAAAAGGAAATAGTATTTGCAAAGCTGTGGAGCTGGACTACACAGAGATGGGTCAGTGTGAGGATGAGAGATGTCAGTGTGAGGATGAGAGATGTCAGTGAGTGGATGAAAGCTGTGGAGCTGGACTACACAGAGATGGGTCAGTGTGAGGATGAGAGGTGTCAGTGTGAGGATGAGAGATGTCAGTGAGTGATTGGAGAGATGACTCACTGTCTGAAAGCTCTAGTCCAGCAATCCTGAGACTTGATTTTGATCCCCAGATGCCAATTAAGAATCTAGTAGCGGTAGCCTACATTGTAATCCCAGCACTTCTACAGAAGTGCTGGGAGAGCTGGCCTGCAGTACACGGCACAGCAGCAGAAACAGAGCTTACCTTATAATATGAGGGAGAAAACCAACTCCCAAAGCTAGCCTCTTGAAGTGAACAACACTAAATAATTATTGACAACCATGCTGATTAAGTCAATTAGAAGTTTTATGTCAATTATAAAATTGATGACCAGACAAGAACAGGCTTGTGCCTTGGTGTCCAAGCTCAGGAGCACAGAGTTTTCAAGGGCAAAACCCACAAAGACAGTAATTTACATTAAGGTCGGAGTAACCTTGAAATGTTTGTTTCTGAAAGAACATAGTAATTAATTTAGATATAACAGGTCAATGTTTTCTACTTTTATTTTTCTGGTTATTTCAGTTTAATTATTTTTGGTTAATACATCTGGACTTTGATCAAGGCTGTTTTCAATTTCTGCTTATTATGAATAGAGCATCAGTTAACACAGATGAGCAAGAATATCTTTAGTAGGATGAAGAGTCCTCTGGAGAGATGCCCGAGAGGGGTACAGCTGCATCTTGAGGTGGACCTACTCCCAGCTTCCTTACCTACCCGCCTCTTCTGACGTTTAAAGTCAGATACTGTGTTATGTGCTGTGCTGCTCGTGTTTTTGTCAGTTTGACACAGAGTGGAGTCACCTGGTCAGAGGGAACCTGGAGGAATTACCACCATCAGATTGCCTTGTGAGGTATTTTCTCATTTGCTAATAGATGCAGGAGGACCCAGCCCTTGTGAATGGTGCCATCCCCAGGCAGGTTTTCCTGTACTGCATCAAAAAGCCGGCTGAGCAAGCTACAGAGAGCAAGCCAGTGAGCAACCCTCCTCATGGTCTCTGCATCAGCTCCTCGAGCTCCTGCCCTGACTTCCCTCCATGATGGACTGTAACTTGTTAAGCTGAAATAAACTCTTTCCTCCCTGAGTTGCTTTTGGTCCGTGTTATCACACCCACCAAAAGCAAACCAGGACACTTGGATCTTTTCATATTTACATTTTATCATAAATTTTCCCATTTAGTCCCCTCTTGAAGATCAGGTGCGAAAGATGGATTTATAGTTATTGGGTTATTTAACAAGGAGAGGTGGATTTGAGGTTCTCTCCTCAATAGAACACCGACAGCTCCAACCGAGGCTTCCCACACCTCTTCTAGGTTTCCTCATTCAGCAGTCATTTCCAGTCACTTCCCAGTGGAGGCTAACAGCTCAAGGCAGGCTCATTGTTCACGTCTGGTTTCAGATCTTCCTATTTTCAGTTATGGGGCCCGGCGTAGGCTGCTGAACGCTTGGTTGGGTCTGTCTCTGAGGAATGCACTCAGTGGCCTGGATGCTGGACAGATCTGGGGTCATGACCTCTCTTCACTCTCTCAGATTTCATTAATGGTGCCTGGGGCCAGTGTGTGCTGTTTGTAGGTCACCCGAGTTACATTTTATCCAGCATTGCCTTTCTCTTAGGCAGTATTATCTATTAACCACCCCTGTCTTTACCCACATCCCTGGTGGGCACTGGGTAAAGTAAAGATGTAAAATTTCTGAGAACATTAGACCATTGTTGGGCAGGCTTTTTCATTGTGGAGGGTGGGTGTGGGAGGGAAAGGGCAGGAGTCTGTGCTCTCATCTGGTATAAGTTTACAGATATCAACATGTTCACTCTAGTTTAAGGGGCTCACAAACTCACACCAGGACCATGCTAAATGTGAAAAGCTATCTGCATCTTTGGTCTGTTGATCTCCCTCCTTTCTGTCTCTTGTGGATGGCATTCTGCACCCCCACTTAACTGGGCAAGCTGGTTTTTACTTCTCTGGATGTCTATAATTTTGCACCTTTCCTCTAAGATTGACAACAGGTGAAGGGGGCAGCAAGATGGCTCTGCAGATAAGTGGCTTTTGCAACAATGCATGTTGGTTTGAATTTGATCCCAGAAATCCACAGGGAACAGAAAGAACCATTCCCCAAAGCTGTCCTCTGACCTCCCCTTGCCCCTACACACTGAATAAATAAATAAAAACCAACCACCAAACAAACAAATGTAAAAACAACAACAGTAATAAAGAACAGATGACTTACAGGAATACACCCAGATTGGAGAGGCTCTAGGCAGGGCTGTTCTACCTGTACCCCCAGTCAAGCACAGAGGGCCTGGCAAGAGCTGGCAAAGTGAACTGTGAACCAGTCTAGTCCCTTGCCCCAAACCCTGATTTTGAAACCAGCCACTTTCTCGCATCTGGCTTGCTTAAGGTGACTCCAAGGTCATTTATCTGCCTTACCTGGGTCAAGCCTGGCTTTCCCTGCTCCTCTACATACACACTGGACTTAAATTTCACTACACTGGGTTAAATTTCAAATACTGAGGACCTGACAACAGTGTGCAGGTTAGGGTTTGTGTACTTCATGCCCAGACAAAAGAAAACTCTGAGCCCAGCCGGTCTCCCACACTCTGCTGAGTGGCTGGTGAGTGGCCAGTTTACAGGTTTCTACTCCAGGGGAAATGCCCTTGACATTGTTTTAGTACTTTTCTTTCCCAAGTGAGCTAGAAGAAGGGGAAAAAAGTCCCCAGTCAAGGCATGGTTCCATTGTTCTCCTGGCTGTTTAAAACCACGTCTCAAGAGCGCAAGTTCCTGGTGTG